GTCAGATGCCCGAACATGTAGATGCCCACAATATCCAAGTACAGTAGTTTAATCTGCAATCCCAAGGGCATACAAAATTATACCAAATAACAATGTAAAATTATACAACATTGTCTTCAAAAAGAAAAAAAAAAAATCACTGCTAAAATAACATTTTTAGCTTTGCAGTGCTTTGCTTATTTGCAGAATTGACTTCGTGTCATTAGGTGCAGAAAATCTCAGTACAGGTCTTTTTTTTTTAAAATGGTCATTATCAGCAGCTTTGATTTCCAGTCTCTCCTAATCAATATATTAGACAAAGGGAAAGGAAGTACAGAGACATTTTGACCATATTAATCTGTAGCAACTCACAAAGTCTTCGTCAGCAGCGTTTTAAAAACCTGTGACTTCAAGGGTAGCAGGTGGCACTCAAAATACACAAAAGGTGGTGAGTGAATCCAATCACTAAAGTTGCAAAGACACTCGAACGTTAATTCACTAGCATGACTGATCATAGAACAGTTAGCCCCATAAATTAAATTGAAGGAAACCTAAAGATCTGCACCCCTATTCACAGGGTGGCCTCCTCCCATGCTTGTGGCCGACATCAGCAGAAAACTCAGGCGACAACCAAACTGTGATCAAAGTAGTGAGCAATTGATAAGTGCTGGAGTGATACCAGTCACCAAAGGATCGTCCACTGAAAGTATGGGGCTAGGGAGCCGAGAGTTGGAGTTATGAGAAAGGAGCAGCTCCGGAGAGGGAGCAGCCATTTTGCAGATAGGGTAGGTACCAAGATGCATTCTTCTTGCCCTTGTTCAAACTGATGTCATAAGACTTCATGGGGTCCACAGTCAATGTGAAGGACTCCCCAGGCAACTCCCTCTTGACTGTATATTGCTGTGCCAACATCTCTCGAGTTGTTCTGCCAGTGGGACAGCACATACCCAAGGATAGTGACAGTGTTACCTGGACTTTGTGTATCATGTTTCATTCTGGGAGTATGGCCATGTCACACTGTTGCTTCACTAACCTGAGAGACAGTTCTCCTAATTTTGGCATGTCCTCGGTTATTGGTAAGGAGGATTTTACAGGGTCAACAAGACCGTGTTCGCCATTATAGCTTTGGGTGCCTAGGTGAACACCAGGTGGACTGTCAAGTTCAATCTTGTGGGTGACTGCATCCCCAAGTAAAAGTATTTAGTATTTAGAAGTATCCTTCAAGAAAATCTCAAGAGGAGCCCTTAAAAAATTGTAATCTTGTAGGAGAAATATGGGAATACCACCACCTGCAAACTGCCCTCTAAGTCACACACTATCCAGACAGGTTCATGTTGCCATTCTTTCACTGCTGCTCTATCAAAAATCCCGGAACCTCCTTCCTAACAGCAGGAGTGCACGTGCAACATATCGACTACAACTGCACAAGCTGCTCACCACCAATAAATGCCTGCTTTGCTAGCAATGCCCACATCCCACGAAAGAATAACTAAAAAGACTGTTCCGAAAACAGATTTGAAAAAAAGATCAGTACAACTACAAGTTATCATTTATTAGCCCAAGAAAGATTCAAGGATAGTTCCATGATCTTTGGATAGTGGACTCTTGTTGATTGCAAGTAAGGATTTTGGATAATTGTTGTGTCATTGGGCTTTTTAATCTCACAAGTCCAGCTATTTATTGACCTCTTTTGGGAGGATTATCAGTTGACTGCACAAACAGAAAACAAGCATAAGAAAACAAAGCATTTTGCATTATGCAACAAAGTAAGTAGTCAGGGAATTACATTGTAAATTTGCACGTGGTCTCTCATGAGGCCTGACACATTCTTATATCTTTAGTACTATGCCCTGCACAGCTATTCAGACTGCTGTATGCAGCACATTCATGGATAACTACAGCAGTCTTATCCAACTGTTCCTTTGAAAATATTCTCTTGCTCACTCAGCCTGGACCACATTGATCCACCCAGAGCTCAACTTTAAATTAAAAGACCATTTATTTCTTTCTATATAATATTTCTTTCCTCCCCACACCAATCTTCAGTTTCAGTATTACTGCAATGCTACACAGGAATTTGTTAGCTCTGGGTTTGATATCTTCACAAATGGGATTCCCTTTCTGTAGTTCTTATCAGAATGAAAATTACTCATGTGGACATTAGCAATATAAAATCACATGGGAGGGGTGGTAAACAACCTCCTTATCAAAAGCCTTCTGAAAATACTAGTATACTATGTCTATGTCTATCAGCGCCGCTTTAAATCAGTTCTGTTAGCAACATCAAAAAAAAAACTCCAACAGGTTCAAACAGGACTTCCCATTCACAAATCTATACTAACTAGGCAAAATCAGATTATAATCCAAGTATCCATTCATCATATTCTTTATAATAATTTCTATAATTTCCGCAACTACTGATGCAAGGCTATCAGATCTGTATTTTCACTTTTCTCTCCTCCTCCCTTCTTAAAATAGTG